CGGAGTCCGACCACATGCCTCGCCGTGACTATGTTCGCCGGTGCCGGGACCGGTCGATCGACGTCACCGCTCGCCAAGACTCCATCAACTGGATCTTGAAGGTAGGTCGCTGCCGTTTTACATCGGCGGCGTCCGATTTAGCGCCTCGGCGCTCTTGGCATTGTTCTCTGTTATGAGCGTTTATGGTTTTGCAGGTGCACGAGCACTACAATTTTAAACCGATTACTGCTGTCCTCTCCGTCAATTACTTCGATCGCTTTCTCTCCTCGAATTTTCTTCCGGTAATGGCTTTCTCTCGATTTTCCCCTCGTTGATTTCGTCGATTCTCCAATCAATTAATCGGAATTCTGTTGCTGACGATTTTAGGGCTTTTTTTCGCAGCGACCGAATGGATGGCCGTTTCAGCTTCTATCGGTGGCGTGCTTGTCATTAGCGGCAAAAATGGAAGAACCTCAGGTCCCACTGCTTTTGGACCTCCAAATTTTCGAACCGAAATACGTTTTCGAGCCCAAAACGGTTCAGAGAATGGAGCTTTGGATCATGTCTAATCTCAATTGGAGATTACGCGCCGTCACGCCGTTCGATTTCCTCCACCACTTCATCTCCAACCTTCTTTCTTCTTCCGCCACCGCCACCGGCGATGGAGACGGGGAAGACTCTCATCGCCTCTTCTCTGCTTCTTCCGATCTAATTCTCAGCACCACCCGAGGTACCTTCGATTAATCCCGAATCGATACTGTTACCATAAATCGCTTTATTTTTCTTAATTTAAAATGATTTTCAGTGATCGATTTCTTGGGGCTTCCGCCATCCGCCATCGCTGCCGCCGCCGTTCTCTGCGCTGCTGGCGAGAGGTTCGATTCTCCGGCGGTTTGTAGCCATTTCCTGGCAGCGAACAGAGTCGTAAGTATTAATTCAATAACTCCGTGTGTTTAAAAAATAATTCATAATTCTATAGCGGTCAAATATATAAATATGAAGTCTTTTTTTATAATGTTATTTTTGGTTAACTATAAAACTTCATATAGGAAATTGGATTGGTTGATTATTCTATTCCATTTGAATCCACCTTTGGAATTGTGTTAAAATGCTTTAACAATTTGAACTTTATTTATATTGGCAACCAAGTTGATTATAATACTTGGTACCATGATTAAGCTTAATTCTAATTTAACCTTAAATGATTTTGAAAGTTTAAATTTAACTATTTTTCAGTCTATAATTTTAAAAATTTTAATTTAGATCTCACGCATTCTCCTTAAGTCACCTTTTACATACTAAAAAACTTATTAAATTTCTCTTATTTTTTATACTCAGTTTTAAGTTACAACAGAGGTACGTAACAAAATAAATTAGTAATTAAAGATGATATGTGAGATTTATCGAAATATAGGAACTAAATTGAAATTTTTAAAATTATGGAAATAAAATTGTAATTAAATGTAAACTATAAAAAATAAAAACCTCAAATTCGTAAATTCAAACCATTCATTTCTCTTGGTGCAAGAAACGTTGGGTTAAAATATTTCTGCTGTCAAAAGTTAAATAAAAACTTTTTTTTGGGAATAGGAAATGGTGAGAAGCTGTCACCAACTAATGGAGGAGTATGTGATCGACACGTGTCCGGCAGCGCTCCGAAAACAGCGGAGTGGTGAAGCCGAGCAGCCGGCGCCGCCGAGTCCAGTCGGCGTTCTCGACGCGGCTGCATGCGGTAGCTGTGACAACACCGGCTCTACGAGCCACGAAGCCGCCGCCGAGCCTCCTACGAAGCGGCTGCGGTCCTCTGCGCCGGATGTACAGGAGCAGTAGATAAGACCTACTTCGTGTCATTTTGTTAGAGGAAGAGAGAAAAAGAGAGCTTTTTTTATTTTCCCAAATCAGCGGTGGTTCTCTGTTTCTCTCTTTTTCTTTGGTCGCCATTCTCTTTGTCGTTGACCATTAAAATGAACGGTTGGGATTGCATGGAGGATGATCTCAAGAAAACAAGAGGGGAAATTTTTGCTGTCTTTTTTATTTGGTTATTTATTTATCCAAAAAAATTATAAAAAATACCATATTTATAAATTTTGGGTCTTTCGGGGGGTAAATGGGGAAATAATGAGGTTTAAGTAATGATGGGGAAAAAAAGTCAATAATTTATCAATTATTCGAAGCTGTGAGTGAGAGTATCATCCCCATGCATGAAGAACCACTGGATTGTATATTTATGAAGAGGCTCTTCATGAGCCATCTTCACTTTATGAAATGACTATTTTACCCTTCACTTTTTTATTGGTCCACGTGGAGGGGTGTGGATTCAATCAATGAGAATGGTCATTTTCATTTTTTTCCTCTAAAATTATTTATTTTGGTTTCATTCATAATTCCCGACTTTTACAATTACATAAAAAAAATTGTTTTTTTTAATGCCGACAAATTTTTGTAATGGTATTCAATAATAATGTGGAGGTCCTTTTTTATTTTTTATTTTTGAAGAGTAATGTGGAGATTTTTTTTTTTTTTTTGAAGCTATAAGGTGGGGGATCTTTGATATTGATGAGATATTTGATGGAATTTTGATAATTAAAGGTATGGATTTAAACAAATAATTTGAGGGTACTAGAAACAGACATTTTCCCGAACTTGCCTTCGCATGAATTGAATAAAATTGTATTTATTATCAAATCTATTGAATTGACATAATCAAAAGAAATAATGATTATATTTGACAATCTATGCTATTACAACATTAAAGTTTATTACTACATTTTAGATTTATAATTTATCAAGGGTTTGAAATCTCACCATTTTAATAAACGCCAATACAAGTTTAATTTGAAGAAAAATGTGAAGGGAATTGACTCTCAATGCAAAAGCATGTTACTCAAAATATAAGAGCCTGGTCAAAATGGTCAATAATTTTACCCTTTTGAYTCGAATCTAAAATTCTTACTCACCTACGTAGGACACTCTCTAACAACTATTTTAAAAAGTCTCATTTAGCAATCAAGTATAAATTGATCATTAAATTCGGTGTAAAATTGGGGAACGAAATACAATTACTATATAAATCAATAGTCTTTAACATGTGTTAGGAAATGAAATTTTACACATGCTATTGGTTCATTTTAATCGCTGTATTTTTAAAATATTTATTTTGATCCATTAATTTTATTTTTAATCATATTTTCTCAATCATAATTTTATCACAATACAAAATCAATACATTTCTTAAAATGTAAAATATAAAATGTAAATTTTTTGTTAAAATTTTAGAAGGAATGACATTTATCAATTTCTAAAAATACATGGATGAAAAWGAACATTTTCAAATTACGAAAACTAAAATAAACCAAAATTTAAAATACAAGCATCATAACAAACGTYTGCACACAAGAATTAAAATGAAATGATGACGAAAATAATATTTTAAGCCAAATAAAACGATGGGATGACGTAGGAGTTGCGTGAGGAGCCACGTAAGCGGAAAGTTGGAGGATTTTGGAGGGAGCGTGGGAGACAGAGCGGATTGTCGAATCAGAAGCGTCCAGGTGTCAGCAGATACGGGGAAAAGAAAATATAAAAAGGAAAATAAAAATTTAAAAAGGGGGGGAGCGGGCGGGCTTTTGAGGCAAAGATTTGATTTGATGGGGTCGGAGGCACGACATGTCACATCAATTGGGCTTTCGTACTGGAACGACAACAAGAAAACCTAAAAAGACCCCTCTGTTTCTGTCGTTCCATCCCTTTACGCCAACACTAGTACTTGCAATTTACACCTATTTTCAATTTTCATCTCCATAATTTTGTAACTTCCGATTTAATTTCTATACCACTTCACTTTTTGTTAGTACGAACTCGCACCTTCGTAGTTAGAGATTGATTTCAATATAGTTGAATTAAGTTCACGTTGACACTACGTTGTAATTTCACAAAATTGCTGATTGTATCACAAAATATCACGAAATTAACGTATCAAATACATGATATATTATTTTAAAATGTATGTGGCAGGACGTTGATGTTGGTTTTAGAGTTTGGACCGATTGTTGGTTCGATTTTGTTTAGTTTCTTATTAATATGTTATTCTTATTGGTTCGGATTCAATTTTGGATCTAATATCGAATCGTTTACGCTTCTATTTAATATCTAACTGATTGTATTAGTTAATTACATTTAAACTTAGGATGGAATAAAAATAGATAAAGTTTTATTAGTCTCGTGGGTGGGAAAAACACAATGACCAACTTTATAATTTCATCTTATTTTAAATGTTACTCCTTTTTACCTTTTAAATAAGTTTAAAATATGTTTGTATCTTGGTCAAATATCTATTTTAGTTTTTGAGATGTTTTTAAATAAACACTTTGTTATTATCATTATTATTTTGTCAATTGCTTACTAGATTGGTGACATGATTTTAAATTTGTGTATCAGCATTTTTAGGATCAGTTGCAGATGTAGTTAATGGTAGATATAACAAAAAGAGACCCATCAAAACCAAATTAATGGAAAATAGTGGTCTTCTGAAAATGAAAAAGAAAAACACACTAATATACTGTATCAATTGTTTTTTAGTGCAAGGAGTAATTGAACTTCTAACCTCTAGAAAAGGAGCAAGATTCAAAGCTATGTTATTCATGTTGGCAAGTATATCAATTATATTAATGAGGTATATTATTGATATATTTAGTATGACTGATATACAAAATGTATATCAATTATTAATTCATATTAGTTAAATTAACGAAAATAAATTAAAATTGAAAATAAATTGTCTAAAATAAACCGTTTGAAATTACAAGAGTCAAAATAAATCAAAGTTGAAAATAATATATGAAAGTGTTTTTTTTAACGGTCTAATTCCAATTGTGATGCAAATTTCTTTGAATAGAAAAAATTAGGGAATTATGTTGGATTAAATTTGGGAGAAAGAGAGAGAATAGGAAATGCCCAGGAAACCCCCATGATAGTCTCCTTTCTGATCCCCATGGTCCAAACAATCGACGGCTGGGATTCATTTGATCAGGTCAACATGGGCCCCACTTTCCAGCCTGTATGGAAAAAAAGGGTTTCACTGCAGGGACTGTGTGAGGGACACAACAGCTTGCATTTGTTTCCTTGTGACTTGTGATGAGATTTTTAACTTCTGAGAATCATTAATGCTATGCATATTGAAAACACCATTCCAAAATTAAATATCCCTAAAAAAACGCGTAAAAAAAAAAAATATTTCGACGCGAATCCAAACATAGTTTAGTAGATAAGATATCTACTGTGTAATTTTAAAAGTTGATGATTCGATCTCATACCTTCACAATTTCAAAGTTAATTAGTCCCTAAGATGATGTGGTAACGAGGATCTTGAGCCTTGTGGTATAACCTACCATGATGTCTCGGATTGCGCTTACAATGTTGCTTAGCTCAAACAACAAGTCTAGTTATAGCGATCCAAAACGTAAGTCACAGGCATCGATTCCCAAAAAAGAAAAAGTTAATTCGACTATAGTATCGACCCGTAAAAGTTCATGATTAGATTAAAAATGTTAGAGATCTTATTTGTTAAGTTACATTTTTAACTACTAGTATGATTTTATTTAGATTTCTTATATTTTAAAAAGTTCCATTACTGATCTCATTATTATAATTGGATAAAAGTTTTATCTGATTTCTTCAAAATTAGTGATAGTAATAGATATGACTGGTTAGAATCCCATCAAACCAAGGGAGAATCAAACATATTGGATCTGATGATGATATTGTTAATCAAGTAAAAAATTCAACAACTCCCATCGAAACGAAAACAACAAAGTTTTTTTTAAGAAAGAAAGAAGGGTTTCATAGCATTTGGTTTAAAGATGAAGCGATGGTAAGCAATTGGAGAGAAGAAGAAAAACGATCAAGGAAAAGAAAAGTTAGGGTTTCACTGCTACATAGCGAGAGAAAAGATGGCTACGACTTTCACCAAGATAAAGAGGGTGACATATGAATTTTCATGCGGATGCTTTCAAAAATTTGGGATGACGGCTAAATTTTCTTTTTTATTTATTATTTCACAGCTTGTTTTCTAAAAGACTATAATAAAAAGCTATAAAAAGTGATATTTCTTGTAGTGCTAATCTCATTTTGAAATATGATTGGTCTCCACACTTCGTGTTACTATTTAATAAAAATCAATATCCTAACGTGAGTGTCCAATTTTTAGCTCACTAAAAAAATTCACATCATTAAAATTTCATCGATTGTATCTCCAAATAACATACAATATTTAATTTTTGCTATACTTATTATGCTTCAATAAAAAAAATAAAATACCGACAATAAAATTTTATAAAAGTATCGAGATCAAAATTTGAAATTAAGATTATTAAAAGGATTTAAAAAGTAAATTTTTAGCAAAAAGACAAAAGTAGAATTTTACCTTTGAAAAATGTTCTGTTATTTGTTCTTCCCTCTTGAAAAAAAAAAAGACATTTTTCTATAAACATGGTACACGCGACATCACATCACTTTAATTTTTTATTTTTTATTTTTAACCATTTTAGAAGTGGTTTGAACTTTGAACCTAGAAGAAGAAGGAAAAAAGGAAAAAAAAAAAAAAAAAGTGCGTGAGGCTCATGGTTTAGCACCGCATTTTTCTCATATTGTCATCCAATCAAACTAACTTTTATATATATATATATATATATATAGCCTACACCTTAATAAATAAAAATAAAATAAAAATTCAACCAAACAAAATTCAAATCATATCATCATAATTTAGGGTACAAAGTTTGCACGATTTCTAATTTAGACGATCTATACTTGTTTGCTTATACTTTTTCTATTGAAACAATTTATTTGGACTATATATATATATATGTTCATATTGTGTTTGAGAGTGATGGTAGAATAAGTGATTTTGAAAAAAAAAATTTAAATATAATTGATTTTTCAAAATTATTATCCAAGTGATATCTTAAAAATCAATTTAAAATGATTTTAAACTTTCTTAAAATCAATTTTATAATTTATCAAACATGGTCAATAGAAAGAAAAATGATTTTGGCCAAAATCACTCTCAAGCATACCCTAAATTATTCTAAAGTGATTTTTGGTCGATCAATTTTAGGACAATAAACTTTGAGATGATTAGAAAAAAATGATCCTAGATCAATTTGATTACCATAAAAATAAAATTTATTTGTTAACCGAACAATCAAATTAAATAAATATATTGTTGGAAAACTTAATCAAAACATATTGAATACCAAAAGGGAAAAAATTAATAAAACAATAACT